AAGAGCAGCCACTTGAACGTCAGGAGTTTATAGTTAGCCAAGCTTTCCGACGATCAGACTCATTAGTAGTCCGCACCATCTGAGAGGTATGCCAGTTGCCACATATGTGGTTGGTACTGGTTATCGCGGATTGAACTAAATCAGACCCTCCAGGAAGACGTCCACAAGCTTATGCTCAGATATGAGTATACCAAGATAATAATTAACAGGTCTCAGTTTGTGATAAGGAAAATACTCAACAGGATGTCGCAGAAGATACCTTTACCTGCAGGGAAGTTAGGGCTCCAGGTGAGGGCTGATGAGTCAACCAATTCCGCTCCGATCGCGGCATTCTAGAAGGGTGGCCCCGCAGAAAGGATTAATGTTTGTCGAAGGCGTGATTGTGCCACTACCTGCGAATTTTCGATATCGCCGCTGACTCCTTGGATTGCGTTCTTTCTGACTCTAAATCGCAATCAGTGTCTTCAGTTTCAGAGACAGGTCTCATTATGCCCGATCAACCTGCTACGAACGGAACGACAACTCCGGTCAATGCAAAGCTGAGCAACCTCGCTCTGACTGAGTACACCGCCGCTCCCACTCCCCCCTCGGAGAAGGATCAAAACACCGCGCTGGGCTTATCCCGTGACTGGGGTATCCCAGATGCATTTCTGCTCCCCAATGGCTACCCAGATGTAAGGTTCTAACTCAAATGAATTTGTTTCCAGGAAATAGTTAACCACCATCCTAACGACAGTACCTCCGCCTTATCCTGACGTCACGGGTCTACGATGTTATTCAGGAGACACCGCTCCATCATGCCATCAACCTCAGCAATCGTCTGGAATGTCGGGTGCTTCTCAAACGGGAGGACATGCTCCCTGTATTCAGCTTCAAGCTCCGTGGAGCTTACAACAAGATGGCGCATTTGACCCCCGAGCAGCGGTGGAAGGGTGTTATCGCATGCTCCGCAGGTCAGAGCCTTTCGCCCTGGTGACTCACCTCGAGGAGAGCTGATAGGTATATAGGTAACCACGCACAAGGCGTTGCATTCTCCGCTCGCAAGCTCAAGATCCCCGCGACCATCGTCATGCCCTCGGGCACCCCTGCCATCAAGCATCTGAATGTCGCCCGTCTCGGCGGCAGTGTCATCCTTCACGGCACCGACTTCGACGCTGCCAAGGAGGAAGCTCATCGACTGGAGAAGCAGCACGGTCTTACCAGCATTCCTCCCTTCGATGATCCGTACGTGATTGCGGGACAGGGTACCATTGGAATGGAAATTCTGCGCCAAGCAAACTTGGAGAAACTCGAGGCTGTTTTCTGCGCTGTTGGCGGAGGGGGGCTGGTTGCCGGTATCGGGGTTTATCTGAAGCGCATCGCGCCGCATGTGAAGGTTATCGGAGTTGAGGCCTACGATGCCGATGCCATGGCCCGGTCGTTGGGTGAGGGATCTCGAGTCTTCCTTAGGGAGGTTGGACTGTTTGCGGACGGTGCCGCTGTGAAGACTGTTGGCGAGGAAACGTATCGTCTCGCCCGTGAGGTGGTTGACGAGGTCATCTTGGTTACGACTGACGAGACGTGTGCCGCCATTAAGGATGCCTTTGAGGATACCAGATCTATCATCGAGCCCGCAGGTGCCCTGGCACTCGCAGGTCTCAAGAAGTACATCGCCCAGAACCCTAGCCCCGACACGAACAGAGAGCTGGTTGCCATCACATCTGGCGCAAACATGGATTTCGACCGCTTGCGTTTTGTTGCTGAACGTGCTGCTTTGGGAGAGCGGAAGGAGGCGCTGCTAAGCGTCAACATCCCGGAGAAGCCTGGTGCTTTCGCAAATCTCATCGAGGTGATCCTTCCTCAAGCCGTGACCGCCTTCAGTTACCGTTATGCTCGTTCGGAGTCCGCCGATGTCCTGATGGGTATCTCCTTGTCTGCGCTGACAGGTCGCGAAGACTTGGCGAAGATTATGGATCAGCTCGAAAAGGCCGGCATGCCCGCGAAGGATCTGAGCGATGATGAGCTTGCCAAGCGACACGTGCGTTTCCTGGTTGGAGGACGCTGCGACGTCAAGGATGAACGTCTTTTCATGTTCGAATTTCCAGAGCGTCCGGGAGCTTTGGCCAAGTTCCTCACCACGCTCCGGCCTAACCAGAACATCTCCCTGTTCCACTACCGCAACTATGGTGGCGATGTTGGAAAGGTCCTGGCAGGCATTCAGTGCCCGAATGACGAGAAGAAGGATCTGGAGGCCTTCCTCAAAGACCTCGGCTATCCGTTCAGCGAGCAAACCGACTCTCCCACTTACCAGACATTCCTCCGTTGTTAACAACGTGCATCGGCATTCTTCGTTATTTTGCGTTTCCGTTAGAGGGAATACTTGACAGGTTCGGGTTGCTGATTTTTCTCTCGGGATAAAAAAGAGTACTTCACTTTCGTCGGCGTTCGGATCGAGGCATCAGATAGATTAGAGGCTGAAGCCTGCTTTTAATGAACTGGCTTGCATATAGCAATGGATTTCAATTCTCATCGGCTTGAGAATACAAGGTGGAATGATATCATAGCACCAGCGGATCGGCTGTAATGTTTTTACGAGCAGAAGGGACAGATCCATCGTCGGCTTGAAATCCAGTCACTTCCAGGCTGTCTGTTGGATGCCACTCCCTTCTGTCCTGATGTTTATACAAGTCACCGACGGCCCCAGCGATCCCTGCATTCTATGTCGTACCACTTCTGGGTCCAGTAATTCCAATTCCTGGGAGTTTCTCGAGGTTGATCTCCACGTTTATAAATCGAGAAAGCAAGCTTTCTTTCTTTACCCCACATCGCCGGATAGACCCATTCTCCGCGGGCTGTTGCCTTTGAAGCGTCAAAGTCGAGATATCCGGTGTGTTCATCGCCCTCATCGACCTCAATTTCGGCGTCGACCATTCGTCCGCCCCACTGGAGGTACACACGATTCGGTTTGGGCGTCTCACCCAGCCGGCGTCTGATAGCTTGTCCTCCTGGTGATCCACTTGCTTTGCGTTTTTTCGAGTTCGAGCCATAGCTATCGGATTCATCTTCATCGTCATCTTCCTCTTCCTCTTCCTCTTCGTGATAGGCCAACTCAGGAGGCTGTTCTTCACGGAGACGGTGCAGTGCATCATCGGACAACGCTAGCAGCATGGTTCCTTCAATGAGACCAAGATTGAATGCGGCCACTACTCCATTTGCGCTTGCTGGTTTCTGGATTTCGAGCGTCAAGTCGTCATGGTAATTACCCAGGTGTTCATCTATTGCTTCGCAGAGAATGGAATACGAACCCACCAGATCATCCAGCTTCAGCGGACCAGCGGGAGGGCGGTAGCTTTTCATATAATCCCGATGAGGCTGCAACGCCTTGTGCCAGCATTTTTGCCTTTCTGCACGCTTTTTGGCTTCTTTTTCAGCCATTTCTCGTTCCCTTTTATCTTCGTGTCCCTTCTTGATAGCCATGACCTTGGCGATATCCCAGCCAACGATCGTGTACTCAGAGTTCCATGCACCTTTAACCCGTATAAGGTGTAGCCCTGGTATGGAGTCTACAACAGTTATGAGGCGTGGCAGATGCTCAAAGAATGGGCAGAGCTCGATTGGCTCGGTGGTCTGCTTCGGATCAGGCTTACCATTCAAGCCGTCAAGGAAATATTTTGCCATGAAACGGTCAAGGTCGAAATTAGCCTCGGTTGTGGGGATGTCGAGCGGAGCGCCAGGTGCAGAACAAGTTGCGAAGGCAGCGTCGAGTCCGCGCGCAAAGGTATCGGCCCATCCAACTACAGTCAGTCGCCTCGTTACACGCGCGACAAGACCTGGTACTGCCTGCACGGCCTTTGAGAAATCCGATTTATCAAAATCTTCAAGTATCAACGGCTCTCTCTGCTTCTCTTTATCTGGGGCACCGTTCGGCCCGAGGAAATACTTGGCAAGGAACAAGCGAGGATCAAAGCGAGCCTCGCGAGAAGGAGAATCCAGTGCTGCAAATTCAGCCGCGCGTTCACGGCTGATGCGTTCCTCACGAGCTCTTTCCAGGTTGCGGTATTGTTCAGCCAGGGACCTCTCGATGGCCATCACTGCTGGTGTCGGATATAAGCACTTGGGCGATCAGTTCCACGCCATCGTAGTCAAATCCGCTTTCCTCACCTGCCTGTTCTTCACCGCAGTCTCTAGAGAACTCTTTAATTGGGCTGCACTAGCCTTTGCCTGAAAAGGGATTCCGTAAAGATGTAACTGCGCTGTGACCCACGGCTTGGTTGCAGACCTGACGCGAGCACTAGACGCATTTTTGCGGAAGAGCAAGTCTCAACTCCTCAAAAGGTGCTCGGGTAAAACCTCCTGCTTTGATGCCGTCTTTGTCGTAGGTGAAGACGCCTGACTTCAGGGGCTCTGGTGGCGGAGGATCATAGTATTGGTAATACATCTTTGGAGACGTGGTGCGAGCAGTTCTTGGGATTGTTGACAGGTAACCGTTCTATTGTTTACTATCTCGGGTTACCTCCGCGACTGAGGAACGGGAACCCTAGAAGCCTGCCCTAATGGCTGGAGTAGGCAAACCATAGGATGCAATCAATTCCCAAATCAATAACTGGACTATTTTTCTGCATATCACGAAGCGTGGTTGAGAATGGGGTAATTCTGCCTAGTCTTAGTTAATGTGGCTTACACTCATAAAAAGAACATGCTTGGCCAGAGACATATAGTTGGACCGCATCAGTGTTATATTATTGCCCATCTGGCCGTGCCTGTCGAGCACTTTCAGCAGAGCATATACCAAATCAACCTCAATATGGATTAATGCTTCTTGTTAGCAGTTGGGAAACCAACAAGCTAACAATGAAAGTAGATGGTCGTCAATTGTCAAGTCTGCCTTGGTGCACTGCCCCCCGGTCATCAAATGTAGCATAAGTACCATGAAAGGCGCCAATTGCTTTGAGTGTGGTTTCAGACATTAGTACTCTCAATAAACTAGCAACCGAATTGTATGTGGATTCACACTCCTAGCAATGCAGTTGTCAATAGTCACGCGTCCCTCTTTTCTGTCATTTTCCTCGCTCTTGATATCTCCAGGTGCAGCCAATCTGAATGGCAAGAACCCTGCTCTCGAAAGCCGTGCACTGTCACACTGCATAGCAGCAGATAACAGCTCTTCGGCAGCTGGAACTACATTCTTCGATTCACCCTTGGTCAACAATGGCTCTACCCAACTTTCATGGACGCTGGGCGTCCATATCCAGAACAGCTCTGACGATTCAGGACGGAACAATTTCATTCAGATCGAACGTGATTTCTATTTTGGCCTTGGCTCAGATGCTGGCTCTATTCAAAATGCGTCCTTTCGCGCCTGCAGTATCTTCTACCATGGTGCCTCCGAGCCTCTCTACTCTGACGCCAACACGGACGGTCGACGTACTCAGGAACTTTCCGATGATTGCGTTCGAGATCTGACGGCCCTAATGAACAATACTGCGCAAGAACTGATTCCCCAGAATGATCATGATCTATCGAATATGTGTAAGAAGTTGGTAGAGACAACAACCAGCGATCGGCCAACCTCGTGCCAGAACTATAACCTACGGGAGTTGCACTTTCAAGGTAAGAACTGATTCAATCAACCTCGTCAAATGGCGTGATCTGATTTACTTGATAGCCTTCATGAATCGCCGGAATACTGCCAGCGCAAGCAGCAGTGGAAACTGTCATTCGTCGTCCGGCGGCGACTATAACCTCACTCTCGTGGATTCCAACGGTTTCGTCAATACCAATGGATCGAGTAATCTGAAGAATATGGTTCTGGGTGCGACGCCGATCATCACTGTCTTCTATCCAGAGTCGAATTTGTCTCGGCCTGACATCCAATACGTGGCTGTGAAGCCAGAGGACACCAGTGACTTGATAGGCCAAGTCAGCGGCTCGTTGGCATCGCGTTTTACTGCACGTACCAAGTTTGCTTTGAGGATTCTGGTTATTATCTCTGCTTTTCTCTCCGGGGTTATTTGATTGTATATCATGTTCATACCACTTGAATACAGGCCATTTCCATACAGCAGCAGCACTCAATTTACCGCAGGAGAAAAACACCAATGGCATGGAGGACGAGGAGGGGGATCGCAAGGAAAGTCCCCTTGCTTGAAGCGATTCCCAATAATTCTTTGCAATGGATCAACCTCATGTGCTCGAGCTTTGTCAAGGCCTCCATAAGAGCATCTTGGTGCCAGCACATGGCCATCACAATGGGGGGCGGATATCTCCTTCGGAGGTAAACGGCGTTGTCGTTCAGCGGCGCGCCGCGGTCAAATAACGCCTTGAGATATTCGAAATTGCCATGCCTGCAGGCCAGAAGCACGAGGTATGCCAGTACGGGGCTGTCGTCATCGTCGGAAACTAGCAGGAGACTCAGACGGAGATGGCCGTCATCAAGGATCGTTCTCCCGAGCTTCGCCGTGTTTGGCTGGCAACTCAGGAGAAACATCACGCCAGTCCAGTCACGGATACCTAGCCGGAGGCTAGTGTCAATGACCTCCGTCGCGTCGTAGTGGCCGCCCCATGCTACTGCGCGCATTGTCTGGCCTCCAGAAGGAACATCGATTGATCTGTTGGCGTGCTCACCGAGGCTCGCCTCCCTGGCCAGTAGGAGACACATTACTCCCACCTGGCCTTTCCAGCCGGCATACGCCAGACGTCGTGGTTGCTGAAGGTTCCTAGTGTAGTTGAGCGCCTCATTGACGTCGGCTCCGTTGTCAAGGAGGAGAGGGACGAAGTCATTGCGGCCTGACCTGCAAGCCTCCCGAAGGCCCTCCGCCAAAAGAAAGCGCGATTCGGATAGCGGTGCGGTGTAAAAGTCCAGTAGCATCTCCAGAGCTTCTGCCCGATTCACGCTCATCGCCTCGACAGTTGGGCGCTGACACGCCACGCCAGAGGTCCTGAGACCGAACTTGGACTGCAGGAGGAGTTGGAGGATCTTCGGACTCCAGTATTCAACGGCCAGTACCACCGGGGAGTCCCCGGTTTTATCATCTGACCCCTCTGGGTGAATCCTGGCGCCACGCCGCAGAAGCATCTCCACGATCTTCGGATGGAGGGACTTGACCGCTGCTTCGATAAGTCGATCCTCGAACAGCCTCGACTTTCCATCCTCGCGGATGCGGCGCGTATCCTGGTCCCCATTATACGTTGCCGCAAACAAAAGTTCATACGACGGCTCAAAGCCAATGGCGTCACCCTAGGCCGTTAGAGCGACGCGCAAAACTCGTAGTTTGTGCGTGATAAATGTCGCTTCATGAATTGATAACGCAGCCGGTTTCTCTCGCTACCCTTGGTTGAGTCCCGCGCAAGACGATCCACCCAGTGGTTCATCAGGCATATGATATCAGCACCTGAGGAGCCATCTTCATCTCGTCCCTGATGGAGAAAGTAGGGCACCATAAAACTTTCCCGTAGGCTACTACTTCGCAACCAGAATAGCCTATCGCCTTCGGGATTCTGTTCCTGGCTTCTGCAAGCATGATTTCATGGTCGAACAACCCTAGAGGTTCAGCGTTCCAGCCACATAACGACCATTAGGGGCCGATGCAGGCTCACAAGTCACCAGACGAAGTTGGACCGATTGGTGCCTCTGTTGGATAACAATAAAATCGAGAATCCCTTGCAAGATTTCCAAGGGGAGGTCAAAGAACAACATATTGAACGTTGGATATGGGACACAGGGACCAAACTATGTCATGAGAATCCTGAGGGCTAGCGATATATACGTATATATGATTCGAAAGAAAGAACATCTGGCGGTAGAGTGAGGGCCTCTGCTCTCCATACTGCTCTCCATACTGCTCTCCATCATTGAGATGCAGGTCCACAGCCATAAACTAGATAAGCTCCGCCTCTTTGGATATCGGCTGTATTAATGGTGAAGGCTCCGGCGAACCTCCAGTTTCTTTTCTGTCCACGAACTTCCCTTTCACCAGCGAAACAGAGCATCGTCAAAGAGACGCGCTTCAATTCTGGTCAAGCGCCGACCCCGGCTTGTGTCGTTCCAGGTAGGGTTGAAGCGGAACCTGACGTCCTGACTTCATTTAGTACATTTCACCACAGTCGAAGGAATCCCTAGCGGTATCTGGTACAAAGGCCTGTCATAGTAGTAACTAAACAAACGAAGTAAATCGTCCATGGAACCTTGACTGCATGTAGTATCTGCCTATGGATTGGTGGACGGTGATGGACCCGGACCTCGGCGATACAGAAACTCCGGCGAACATTTGCTCCGCGGATTTGATGACCTTGGGAGCATGGAGCTGACCATCTGATCCTTTGCACCGCTGACGGCCGATCAAGAACGAATTGTCGCGGTAAAGGCTATCAGTCCTTTCCGCTATTCTTTACTATGCTGTCCTTTCGCTCCGTCTTGGGTTCTTCAACCCGGGCCCTCCGCCAACTTCTCCCGAGTCAGCCATTCTCTCACCAGTTCCTCTCGCGGTCACTATCACAACTATCAAGAGTATCGGTCGGCAACAGCCTTCGGAGCCTACGTTTTACGAAGCAGCAAGATAGCAATGTCGGTGTTGTGGGGTCCACGGTGCGGCAACTCGAGCAGGTTCGGGGCATGAAGACGAGATCGTCCGTTAAGCGGTTATGCGATGGTTGCAAGGTATGAAATTATGATGCGTGCATGGTCAACATCATACTAACGGCTGGTTGTCAATAGCCTGTTCGCAGGAAGAACCGGGTTTACATTATCTGGTGAGTATCGGCGGCGCCCTTTGCATTCGACACAGTCTGACCACCCACAAATGCAGTTCGAAGAATCCTAAGCACAAGCAACGTCAAGGAAAATGATTGCGTGCAACATAGAGCAGAGAAAGGGGGAAACGATTTTCATCTACTGTTTGAACCATGAAAGAAGCCTTATCGACTGTATCACGGTACGGTGCTTGGTTGGATTCGGCACAGACATGCTTTATTGAAAATATGGTTTCGTTGTGATACTCGGGATATGCATGGTCAACTTTATTATCGGTTATTCGTTCCGGCGCTCGTGGTATTTTGTACATTAGACAACTGTCTCACTATGTCACTTCTTTGCAGAAGACCATTCTCCTCTACATCTGTTTCGTCTTGATTCCATGCACTTGTTCAACCAACCCCTTTTCAAATCTGCCAGCATATCCAGAAACTCACCTCGAGCTTAAGTGGCCAACGATCTCATAAAAGAGCGTCCGAGTTCAGATATTGTGGCGCTCCAGTTGTTACGAGATCCCACCGCTACCACCAACTGTCGTTCTATCGCAGGCTGCAGCCATTGTGGATGAACGAGCAATAGCATGCGCACACGTATAAATCAGTGGCTTCCTTAACAGCATTCCTTTTGATGTTGCAAGATTGGGCCCGGGATCTTATCGCTCCCGTGGCCCAGGAATGCGAGAAGAACCCCGGCCCTCAGGTATGTTTGTTCCAGGACTCGCGAACTTCTCACCCGTGTCTAAGTCCACTCACACTGTGTGAACTATCTAGCAGCCTCTGGGTATGAAAAAGAGCTTGGACAACCTCCACACATCATGGTTCGCAGTTATGCGCAATTCCTGGTCTTAGTCCCAGCGACCACTGCAACACTGCTATTCTCGCAGCAAACGCTTGATGGAAATAACATCCTCAAACACAATGGTGCAATGGGACCATATGTGGACCGCACCAACTACGGGATCAATCGCGACCCTCCGGCAGGCTGTTCGGTCGACCAGGTGATCATGATCAAACGCCACGGGGAGCGATACCCTCTCGCAAGCGAAGGACCAAAGATAGAAAAGGCCCTGCAAAAAGTCAAGAAGGCTGCTCTGGACGAGCCTCACGTCGATGGTGATCTGAATTTTGTCAAGAATTGGACTTACTTCGTCCCTTCAAGTTGCTACTATGACAAGGAAACCACCACTGGACCGTACAACGGTATTCAGGACACCTACAGGCACGGCATGGATGCACGAAATCGATACGGCCACCTCTGGGACGAAGAGACGCTTGTCCCTCTGTTCGCTAGTGACGCCGGCCGTATCGTGGACACGGCTCGAATGTTCGGGGAGGGGTTCTTCGGTGATGACGAGTACAAGACGAAAGCGGCTATCAATATCATCTCCGAATCGGCTCGTCAGGGCGCGAATGCCCTATCGCGTACGTGTCATGCTCGTGATCTCCATGCGCAGCGTATTTGCGATGCATGGCCGCAGTCGTTGCCCCAGCTTGAGGGTGCGGCGCAGCGGCTCAATGTCCAGTATCCCAGTCTGAACTTGACGTCGACGGATATATTCTGGTTGATGAGTAGACCGCTCCTTTAGAATCTGCTGGCTTGTCTACCATTTTCTAACCTCACAAGCAATGGCATCCTATGAACCCAGCGTCCGTGGACATTCTGATTGGACAAGGGTGTTCACCATGGATGAATGGGTCAGCCTGGGGTATATCTGGGATCTACACTTTTACTATTGCGCTGGGTAAGTCGATCTCACACTTTCAGCCGGTACAGGGGCAGCGTTGACTGTTTCATTGCTCCTAGGCCCGGAAACAGGAAGATGCGTCCAGTCGGCTCCGTATACGTCAATGCTAGTCTCACTCTTCTCGAGCAGGGACCTTCGTCCGGCTCCCTCTTTTTAAACTTGTACGTGGGCCGCCCTACCATCTGCCTCCGCAATTGTAGCTGACATCTTTACTTGCAGTGCTCATGATACCGATATCACCCCCATCATCGATGCACTGGGTATCCTCAACCCGCCCGAAGATCTCCCACTTGACCGTGTCGCCTTCGGCCATTCATGGTCAAGTAGCGAGCTGGTGCCAATGGGAGGCCATCTCAACATGGAGCGACTGAGTTGCAACGCCACGGCAATCTCGCCTGCAGGAATATACGTCCGATTGGTTTTGAACGAAGCCGTGGTGCCGTTCCGTGCCTGCCAGACTGGTCCAGGCTATTCCTGTCCCTTGGAGGAGTATGCCTCGATCCTGAGGCAAGATTTACCGGATTATGGCTCGGAGTGCGAGATCCCAAAATCGGATCCTCAACACTTAAACTTCTGGTGGGATTACAGTACGGCGACTAAAGATAATTACCGTGATGACACGAAGTGTGATTAAGACGGTTGATCAATGGCCCATGTTGTCATTACTGTGACTTGTAAATTACAGATTCGCATTCAAATGTTCTCCAAGTATCCCGTATGATTCAGCCTCTCTACGATTGCAATGGCTCACCCATACCACCAAAGGTCACGCTCTTGATCGTAAGGAACTCGTCGATTCCGTACTTGCTGCCCTCGCGGCCGAAACCACTCTGCTTAACACCACCGAACCTAGTGAAAGTTAGCACAACGCAGTAGCTTCCGGTCTGACAGGGACACTTACGGAGAGGCGACATCGCTAATGAGTCCTGTGTTGACCCCCACCATACCGACCTCCAGCGCCTCCGCAACCCGGAAAATACGCTTGACGTTACCACTGAAGAAGTAACCCGCGAGTCCGACCTCAGCACTATTGGCCAGCTCGACAACCTCTTTCTCGGTCTCAAAGGGGAAGATTCCAGCCACGGGGCCGAATGTCTCCTCGGAGGCCAGCAACATATCCTTGCTCATCTCCGCCAGGACAGTCAGCTCGTAGAAGGTGGGACCCAACTCGGGGACTCTTTGGCCTCCGGCGACAAGCTTGGCTCCCTTGGCTTGAGCGTCCTTGACGTGCTGGTCGACTTTCTCGGCGGCGCGTTCGTGGATAAGCGGGCCGTGAGTGACGCCATCCTCGAAGCCGGCGCCCAGCTTGAAATCCTTGACCTTTGTGGCGAAGCGCTTAACGAATTCATCGTACACGCCTCTCTGAACGTAGATCCGGTTAGCGCAGACGCAGGTCTGTCCTGAGCTACGGAACTTGGAGGCAATGGCTCCGGCAACTGCGGCATCGAGGTCCTCGACATCATCAAACACAATGAATGGTGCGTTTCCGCCGAGCTCCCAAGACACCTTCTTGATAGTAGACGAAGCCTGCTTCATGAGCAGTCTACCGACATTGGTCGAACCGGTGAACGAAACTTTGCGAACTTCAGGATGGGTCGTGATCACCTCTCCCACCTCCGGCGTATTTTTCAGCGAAGTCACGATGTTGACCACCCCCTTGGGGATACCCGCACGATGAGCCAGCTCTGCAAGGGCATTGGCAGTGAAGGGTGTTTCACCAGGGGTCTTGCACACAACCGTGCAACCCGCGGCCAGAGCAGGTCCGATCTTCCTTGTGATCATAGCAGCGGGGAAATTCCACGGAGTGATCAAGCCGCAAACACCAACGGGCTGCTTTAACGTCATGACTCGGTTACCGGGCACTGACGCGGGGATCGTGTCGCCGTAGATCCGGGGTGCTTCCTCGCTGAACCATTCGAAGAAGCCGGCTGCGTAGTTCACCTCGCCCTTGGCGTCAGCTAGGGGCTTCCCGTTCTCCCATGTGATCAATGTTGCTAGATCTTCTGCATTATCCATCATCAATTGGTACCATCGTCGCAACATGCGGGCACGCTCTCGCGCTAAGGTGGCGCGGAACTTGGGAAAGGCAGCTGATGCAGCCTCGATGGCCTTTTCTGTGTCGAGGACGTCGAATTCGGGACATGTGCCGATAAGTCTTCCGGAGGCGGGATCTAGGTTGGACATGGGATAAGTTTCATTCTGGCGCCAGGAGAGCACAAGCGTTACCATGAACTTCGAATGTCTTTCCTGACTCTGCGTCTACCCATTCTCCGTTGACATAGGCCTTCTCAATGAAGAGAGACTGGTCTTTCAGCTAAAGCAGCAGCTGTGAGCTCATTCTCATTAAAATGCAAGCTTCAATCAAGAGCGGCCTTACCGGAGGTACAACATGGCTTTTTGAGTATAATCTTTTGGCATGAAGCGTAGGAACGGCGAAGGGATACCGAGCTCGCGATCTCAACAATTGCCGTGAAACCGGACGGATAATCCTCTCCATGGTGATAGAATGATGAGCCCTTAAAGGGACTAAGTAACCTTTAGTCGCACAGGAAGTTCGGAACAAGCAAAAAGGATAATTGATATGATTCTCCTCCCTATCTCAGTATGCGGGGAAAGTCGTGAAGCTCTTCCGCCGATAGAGTCCTGGGATGTTGCGGAAATAAAAAGACCTTAGAAATACTCTATCTACTGGAGAAGGGAATTAAGTTATCTTTATACTTTATAGAATCCTGAAAAATATGGATCCAACGATGAGTATGTAAAATAAATACTAATCGTAGCTCCGAGGCCGTCAAGCCTTCATTACACCACTCCCTCAAGCGGGGAGCTGTCCATCACGTGGGTCGACGTCATTCTAGAACAACACTCATTATACCCTACACTCCCTGATATTCCCATGCTGGACTTGATTTGTTTGAAGACTATGAGACTGTACACATTGCGTATTCGCCAGCTGCAGTGATAGAGAAATAGCTGCTCTGTTGAGGATCAGAGTCCTAGTCAACAACCCCAAATTTCGATATCAAATACATCAATCGTATTGATAAAACACGGCCAGAATTGCGGATCGGAGCTCGGCAGTTCTGTCCAGTAATATTCGATAATTCGAAAAGCTCCGGTAGCCCCAGCCAATGGTACAACTCCTGGACACCGACCTACTACGGTAAATTACAAAATGTGACCGAATAGTTTACCTTATCAATTGAGTCGCCTAAAGAAACTATTCAGCTGATGGACAGGGTTGATCCATTAGCACCTAAATCCAGTGACTATCTAGGGTGCGAACTGGGGCTTAAGAATGTCATTAACTTCAGCAATATGTTTGTTATCCGCTCACTGATGGAGCACGGGACCTGGCAGTTGAAGACTTGACACTGGCGCTTCTGGACCGGTATCCGGCATGCATTCGCTTCATGTGCAAGTTGAGATTCCATGTCCGAGTGAAACCATCGATATGTCGAGGACATGACTTGACAGGACACAGGATGTCCTGTTTGCGATGCTGCCCTTTGCCTTTGAGTCGTGGTGTGCTACCGGCTGCTTCCGAGGTTGGACTCCCGGGACGAGAAGTTGAGCCAACTGTAGATGCTGCACGGGAGCGCGCTTTTCGAGATTGGGCTCGACTAGGAGGGGACGGCGCAATTTGTAGCTCTGGCTCTGACTCATCGGACTCGTCTTCGACATACTCCCATTTGTTGACATATCCCTCCTTCAAATGCCCTAGCTGACCCTCCTTGAAGGTCTGGAATTCCATATCCTCGCCGAAAAGAGCCGCACATCTGCGAGCGGTTCGCATAACCGCAGCATGCGGCAAGCCTATCATGGAAGCAATACCTAACACTTCGCTCCAGTCCCGAAGTCCACGACGGATGCGACTGGCTGATCGCCTGCGATCACTATCAAAGGACCTCCCACGAGAACGAGAGGCAGTGCGTGCGCTCGACGCAAGTACGCTGCGAGATCGGCCTGTCGTGGATGTAGCCCGCACGGAGGATCGGCGAGTTCGTTTGCGCCCTCTTGATTGACTCCTTTCTCCCTTCTCGCCCTTGTGCCTTTTCCTGGAATGAGATGCGTTCGAAGCGACACTCTCCGTATCACTCTGCCATTCACTGGCCGAGCTATCGTCTCCCGCCACTCCGCCTTTGCGAGCATGGTGCAGACCCATCAATAGCTGATCGAATCGGGTAAGTATGTTGCGCGTAAGAGGTCGTAGCTGTCGTCGAGATTTGTCATCATCGGCTTGGACTACCGGACGAAGTTCGATGGCATCCGTAGAGTCGACATCAATTTCCCATTCACTCTCCATACCAGTGGTTTCGTCGTTCGTTCTGGACATAGATCGTGCCCTCGACTTTGGGTTTGAACCGACGCCTTTAGTCGTCCAGTCTCTCGCCCGAAACTGATGATTGGCAGTCTTGAGCATGATTGCTATGATTGATTCTTCCATCTCCGCGCTGGGCCGAGGATCCGGCGGCATTCTCAATGTCCATTCATCATCAATTTGTCTCCGAAGATGCTCTCCTGCACGAGGGACTTCCGTTGCCGGCACAGGCCACGCTGTCCAACGTTTCGAAGGGACAAAAGCTTCCGTTTCGTCGAGCTGCTTATCACTCTCTAACGCTTGCTTTGCAATCTCACGTGCCCTAACCCGTAAGGCGAAAGCATTGTAGAGATGAGCGGCAAGGTCTCTGGCTCTGAGTTCCTCTAGTGCCTGTGCATTCTGCCGGTCTTTAAACGTAAGCTTTCTCCACGTAGACTCAGGCCCACGGAACCTATTAGGTCTGTATGAGGGCGATGACGGCGGATTGTCAGGGTGTTGCTTGCTAGGCGGAGGCACTATTGCGGCCTTTTTCTTTGATAATTTGTACGAATCCCCATCATTGCTCGCCTCATCGTCGGACACAGAACCGTCGTCCTCACTTTCGACATATGTCTCATCATCTGAGTGATCATTTTCAGTCAATGGAACCTCTTCCATGTCAACGTCTGAATCATGCTGCTCCAAGCGATTCCCGTTCCGTTCTGTCTCGGGGTAAGGTTCCAGATCAGCCACATCTTGGCTACTTGGGCCTCCGAATAACGATCTGTACGGCTGTGCTGATTGAGGAGGACTGAAGCGTGAGGGCTGACTTCCAAACACCGAGGACATTCTTTGGTCTAAGAGTGTCATACGCCTCTGAGTATCTGGAATGTGTTGACTGATAATCACTTATACGTGGCGCTGAAGTAATATGATGAAAATCGCCCGTCTTTTAGCATGGTAGTAGGGCCAAACTCAAGTGTTCCTTGTCCGTTGGATCGGATCATGACCTCATTCAGAAGCGTTGGACAGAAAGGTTGCTAAAACAGTGCAAGTTCCTCAGGATTAGAATCTCAGCGGACATGGCTTGGAAACATGGCTTTTCTTGCGGAAAGATCTCGAGCCTTATGAGTTTTGGATTACATGTAGGAATCGCATCCAGACGAGAACCAGAGAAAAGAAAAAGATATCACGTGACGTACGAACAGCTACAGCCTCAGGTTCCAGGATCGAGTTTTCGGCAGACCTACTCCGTATGTTTGAGAATATAGAGAAGCGATCGTACAGATACATGGAGGAAAATCTTAATATACGATGTTTATATGCTGAAATTA